TCATTTTAGATTCAAAAATCTTTTTAATCCACGCTTTATTGTGGATTTAATTCATATATTTCTGATGTTTCGCAGTAACTGAAAATATTTTTTAATAATTCAATATAAATAAATTTTTAACTACATTAAATCAGAAAAATTCTATACAATAATTTATTCTATTATAAGTATAAAAGAAAATATTAACGAATCACTTAAACGAAATGCTCCAGGTTATTTCTTTAAGTGCTAATGCCTTTAGGCAGTAAAATTTTTTCGAAATTGAGAACAATTCAAAACTCAATTGCTCTTCAGATATTAATTGCTTTGCGAATTTCTTTTTGTTGAGAACTTAAAGAGGAACATTTCATATATAACACTAACTGTGCTGCGATATTTATTGGCAATAACATTTTTTTTTATTATTACGTATGAAGGATCATCACTTATTTAAATAAGTTGCTTGGTCAATGAGTTGTGAAAATGTAGCAAATTATACTTCATAGTTCTTCTTTTCTGGGTATAATCTAAGAGCAACCAACAGAAAGTAAAAATTGAGAACAGACCTTTTTAAAAACTTTGTAGAAATGCTTTATCGCATACTTGATTTCGGAGTGCAAAAATTTGTCAAGCTTACTGAATTAATACTGAAATAATGCAGAAGGTAGTTATTTAATAGTTGATATTTTATAGTTAGTTAGTTGTGGTGGAGGGAGGACGAATCCTCCTCAAATAGCTAAGGATGAAAGCCGTTTTGAGTCCACAAAAACTTCGTAAAAGTGGGTAGTAGATAGAGGGTCGAACTAGAACCAACCAGAGGCATTAACAAAGGCAAGAATCTGGCTAATGCTGATGCTGGAGATATCGCTAAGTGAGTTGAAGAAGGGGCCCCTAGAAACTTAAACCTAGTTCTGGCCAGACCTGGACAAAAACACATCAGGTGTTCTGGTGTCATTTCTTCAAGTATTGGTAGACACGCACTACATGAGGTACCACAGGAAAGGCCAAGTCTGGCTCCATGCCGTCCTATGGACCAGTGACCCGTAAAGATAGATACTAGCTTAGAAACCTCAGATTTGTTTCTACAGATTAAGTCAGAGATTCTGTAACATTTCTTTTGATATTTTATAAAAAGAAAATAAAAATTTTGTAAAGAAGTGAAAATGTAAAAAAAATGTTATTAAAAAAATTTAATTATAACAAATTCAACAATACAAAACGTTAATTGCAGAAGTCGTATATGTTTTAAAAGCTCAGATCTATGGATAGATCTTTTATTATGCATTTTTATTAAAAATTGATTGAAATAAATTTTAGGGTCATCAATTGGCTATATAAAAACATAAAATATAATAAAGATCATTACTTCATTTTAAATTTTGTTGTATTACATAGAAACTTATAACAATTATATTATATTATATATATTATATAATATATATAAAGGCTACAGCTATGGTATTTTAGCCGTCTGCCGATAAACAAAATATATTTATTGTAGTATATTTATAAAGATCAGTATATATGTTTTACCGTTTATATATGTTTTTTACTGACCCCGTTTATTATTTTATCTTTTTTTCCAAAACAAATTTTAAGATTATAATAATGCCAATAATACTTATTTGTGGTTTATGCTTTTGTTAAAAAAGCTATCGTTTGTTAGTTTAAGTTTATGATGACTATAACATACATTCGGTCAACACAATAACCTAATAACCTATTAAAATTTGGTGAAATTAATTTATATGGATTGTACAATTAATTCTATTACATAAATATATTTATTGAAAAATGACTGAAATATGTCACTACCGATTCCTTATTCCTATTCCCTTATTATTTTTGATCTCATAAGACAAACGGTTTTTTTTGGCAAGGCATCGATAAGTTAAAAGACCTATATCCATACCTATATTCAATGTGTTTCATAAGGACCGATAAAATATTTAATGAGTTTTGCAAGACCTGGTATCAACATCTTCCCAAAAACCAATGCAAGCAAACGTACAATATTTTACGGATTAGTAGTGCTTATGTACCAATACTGGTCTAAGGACTGAGAACTAAAAAAATCGCCACTCAAGTAATTTCATCTTTCTTATGTTAGTATCACACACTTTTTATCACCAGAGCTGCTTTATTTTATATTTGTTAGAAGTTGAGTTAATTAACGAATAATATATAGTAATATTATTAATTTTTTTTTAAAAAAAAAAACCTGCACGATCTCAATATTCTCAGAAAATATAAAATACTATATTATAACTAAAATAATATATAATAAAAAACAATGTCAATCCGGATGTTTTCGTTAGCTTAAAACTAATTATTTCATTTTTACATAAATTAATAGTTGAGTTTCTTTATATTAAAAACGAAATAATATAAAATAAAATAAATAATACATAAGTCAAAACGAAATCATTTGGCGCCAGTGAGGCAATTGGCATTAACATTTTACGAGCCGAAGCAAACATATTTTTATATAAAAAATCATTTAAAGACCCAACACCTATGCTGAAGCTTGTAAAGTCAAAAAAGTTATATTATAAAAAAATCAAAAATTCAAAAAATAATAATATGAAAAAACCACATATGAAAATTTATAGATACGAGTATCTTCAAAATATTGTATTTATAACAGTAATGTGTTAAAGTCATAAAATCCAAAAGCCATTAAGTGCTAATCGTATAAAATCCTACGGACAGACAAGTATTTAGCCGAATAGACATTAAACAAACAATAATGTGACGAATGTTCTTTTTATATACCAATTAGATATTTATGAATTGGAATTTAATTTAAAAGATATGTATATGTTTACTAATGATAGATACAACGTCATGAACTTTTGAAAAATAAGAAAAAATTTCAACTTCTACTTTAAAAGATAACATCGCTTACAATTTCTGTTTAATTATGAATATCTAATAAAAGCGGTGATTTTTTAAATTACTCTGACATTGTATTAAATTTAGACAAATAATTCAAGTTAAGTTATTGCGATCTTGATACAAAATATAATTGCTTGAAAATATGAATTTTCAAATTAGAAATCAAAACAAAAAACGAGTTTAATGACGATACAATTAATGAGAATGAACTGTAATTATTTTATTGTTTTGTTTTTAAATATTTGACGTACGAATTATAAATACTGTGATAACAAACTATAACGCAAAAATATATTTACAACATATGAACCACCTACGATAGGATACATTATTCTTAACATTGATTAGAAGATATAAAAATCTGAACAATTTATAAACTTGAGATACTGTGTTTAAAAATTTGTGTCCGTATAATAGGACTTTATCTATATAAGGCTCCGGTTTTAAATTGTATAAATTATTTCATCTCCAATATCAGCAAATAATGTATAAAGGAACGGAAATTCACAGCATCCAATTGTCCTGCATACCAAAAGAAATGTCTGTTTTCTTTTATCATATTATAAATCCTAATTTCGGGGTACCATATTTCTGTTGCATATTATATATTGAAAATTTATCTTAAACTTTTCTACTATAATAGAACTTGAGCAAATACTAATCGTTTGTGCAAAGAGTAGTCGAGTGTCAATACTCGATTGTAATGAAATTGCATAGATTAGTTAAGGTCATTAGAGTAGAATCCAGATATATTCTTCTTTTTCTTCATTTTATTAAGTACCCAGGGGAATATTGGGCCTCAGAATCCAGACATAATGAATATTATTCGCAGAGAACACAAAATAAGTCCAATGTTCACAAACTGAATTAATCATCTACTTTAAGTCATAACACATCCTATTCTCCCATTGTATTGGAAAACATGAATTTCCTTATGAATATTGAAATTCTTAATAATAATTAACTATAATTTTTGTTTGTTTATTTCGCTACTTAAGAAGTGGCAAAATATCTTATATGCTTGAGTGTTGTTTATATTTGAAAGTAGTTCGGCTTAGCTTTACTCAAGTACTGATACCAATAACAATATCAGTAAATTTTTAATTACTTTACTCTGTAATTTCAAACCATTATATTCTCTTGAAATACCACTGCCACTCTTCATCGATATAACACTGCTAAATTTTAATCAAATAAAAATCATTAATTAGCGCTTTAGTTAACAATTGACTACGAGAGTAATCTTGTGATAATTTCGAAGAAGTGTTTGGTATTATCAAGCGATAAATTATGAAACTATCACAGCTATCAAAAACAACAAGTTCTTATTAAACATATATATAGCAATTCAACATTATTTATTTATATGATTTTTGATGTCTTTTATTTGATTTACTTAACAAGTGAAGGTATAAATATCATGATAATATACTCATATATGGACATATTTTTATAAATACTTACAATATTTTCTAGTTTAGTCACACATTTGAGGTTTCTTAAATTACTATGAAATTAGTAACTTGAGTTTTATCACACTCTTAAATTTCCATATAATTGTATTGATTCTACACGGAACATATTGTTTCATATTTAGTTTTTAATATATTATTAACATTGACACATAAAATATCCCCTTTAACTTTAATAGACTCATTTTAGGCTCGTGGGTTTTGATTCAGAACTTCATCTGTACGATTTCTTCGAAATCCGTAGTATTTATTTTTGTTCTTTAACTTGCGTACACTTAATCTTCTCCAACAAACAGCTGTGCCCATTGTAACTTACGTCAATAAATAATTTCTTACGTACAATTAATGTTTTATTATTCTGTTATTGTGATAAAAGTACATAGTCATGATGACTTAAAAATTGATTTTCCATATGAATTATTAATCTATATTCATATCCAAGTTGCTCTATATCATTTTGTGACGTACATAACTGTTGCACGTAAAAATTAAATTCTAAAAATATATTTTTAAAAACTACGAAACACCTGTTTTTATTAGAATTTCTACGAATAATTAATAATGATTTTTCATAAATCTTAATTTTTTAATAATTTTCCAAAATTGAAAAATTTTAAAGTTTAATTTTGTTTTTTTTTTCATTTTTTTCAGGAAAATTTTGCATCTCATTTACTTTAGCAACAATAAGAACAACATTATCATCGAAACAACATAAACAAATTTATTTTAAGAAGCAAATTTAGATAAAATGAATATTATAAAATCGCATTCAAATCAGAAACGACGGCATTCATATAAAAATAAAGAGGCAACAGCACATCCATTCCAGTTTTTTAAGCAAAGAACTATAAATGCTACCAGAAGTACAATTTTAAAGAAAAATATAAAGTTTCTATCGTTAAATATGACGCAACGGTTCTCAAGTTCTTGTAACTTAGTTGCAATTATTTTTCTAATAGTGATCTCAACAATTGTTTGTCCATACGTGAAAGCTTCAGCCGTTTTAACCGGTAAGTACATATTTACACAAAAAATTTTTAAAAATTGTTGATCATTTTTACATACTAACATTATCAAACAATTATTATCTATAAATTATGAAATTATAATATCAAATATGTAATCAAATATTTTCTTAACCTAAATAACCTCAAAATTAATTAACTTTGCATACAGAAAGGTAAAACATATAGTAAAATTTAGTCCAAACAGAAACATAATCTAGCATACCACACATCGAAATATTCATAGATATATCATATAAATTTTTCTGGTGCATTCAAAACTTAAATAAACACCATCTACATAATTTAACCGTGAAATAGTCCAAAAATGGTTAATGATTTATATATATGATTTCTATTATCTAAATACAGAAAAGTAATTTGTTAATCAGAGTTTTCAGTACAAACAAGACCTGGAACTTAAAACTGTATATTAAGAAGTAAAACTATTTAAAATTGAAATCGAATCGTCACGAATAGTCAATCACAGATTTTAAACATTGATGCCGTGTAATCCTGGTTTTAATTTATATTAATCATATTAAAGTTATTGTTTTATTTGGGTTATTGAGTAACCCGTGAGTTTTTTTTTTTTTTTTTTTTTTCCAATAGAAGGGTTGGGAAGTAGTCTCCGCGTCACTGCATCCTCGAGGATTATTGTGACATACCCACTTCAGTTCCATAGACGAGTAGCAGTTAAGAATGCCAGTATGTCCTTTGGAGAGATGTTGCCTACTTCCGTTATAAGCGGATAGGCAATGGATAAGTAGCGAAGTCTGAGTCTTGCAAGACTATCACAGTGACACAATATGTGTTCTGCTGTTTCCTCTTCTTCGTATACCGTGAGTTTCTTGCCATACATATCACATTAAATTGATAAGTTTCATCATTTTCTTGGAGTTCTTCGAGCTACAAATATGTTTCTTAAAATCAGTTTATCTTTTGGTCAAGGTAGATGGATAGATGACGTAAAAGAACGCATAACTGCTTAAATTATATAGAAATACTTTTTCGGTTCACAAACCTCGAAATTTGGGAAGATATTATTACGCATTGAATGCAAGAACTTGATGCTTTTTAATTTTTTAAGACGTTATAGAGTGAATATTTATTGTGATTATATTTGGATATGTAATTTATAGGTTTGTAATATGTAAATATTTGGATAGGCTTGAGTATCCAATGTTTTGTAATATAACACCTGCAAATATGATCGGCAGGAGTAGCTGTTGGGACATGCTCCGCCATACCGTCTTATTTATTTATTTATAATTCATATGCATACAACAGCAATAGTATGCATATTATAGAGCAAGATGCTGTATTAACAAGCCTTAACCACTAAATTTACATTATCATTGATTATAACATTAATAACATAAATAATAATAACATTATAAATATGATACAGAATTATTATATTTGATCGTATACGTTGTTTTGAGAAACTTAAATGTTTTCTCCTGTGGGTTTCGATATTGAGATATCACGAAAATTATTGTGTCTATAATATGATAATTGAAGTAAAAGGCTCTGTGTTACAAAACTGACATCTGAATAAAAGAGATTTGTCAAAAAGATGTTTGTATGCAAGGTGACTATGCCCGAGACGTAGACGAATAAATTTGGAGAGCTCTTTGCATGTAAGGGGTATACAAACGTTTGTAATAGCGTAATCATAAATGTTGTTTTTATGAGAATTGATTCTTTTATAGTGGTGATAATATATATGTATATATTATTATATTATATATTATTATATTATATGGAGATTGGGGGGTCTCATGTTCAGTATTTCATGTTAACCGATATTAATGTAGAGAATTATATTCTGTTCTTTTGGATCACATCTAAAAGTTAAGATTCAAAATAATATGATATGAGTTTTTATCGTTTTTGTTGTTTCTGTTTTCATAATTAAGCCTGGCATAAATTAATTAAATTAAATATGAATTAAATATTTTGTGAAATTTTTATTTTTAATAAAACTTTAATAAATAATTAATAAATTTTTAGAAATTGTGATTTTAAATGTGCCATACCTTAATGCACTTATTAATTTTTTTTATGTTTCTTATTATTAACTATATCGTATGACTTATCCACTCATGATGAATGAAACATAAAGATTTTTTAAGTCACAGTTATATTCACATGTAGTGCTTTTTTTATATATTTGAATATGTTAGAGGTTATTAACATTTTATCATTTGCAAAGCTTGTGCACGTATCTGCAATATTAATATGTACATAAAAAAATGATGCTACATCTCTCTAATATAGTTGCTTAGTCTTCAAATGTTACAAATGTTTACTAATATTATTTAAGCATCAACCATCGCTGACATATTACATTTTAGTAAAAAATCCGAATCTCCTTATCTATTCCAAAAATTTCAGATTCTCTAGAAAAACTATTAAGATCTGCTGCATAGCAGCACAGATAAGATATGTTTTATACTAATAAAATGATAAGAAAAGGTGGACAACACTCTAATCGTAAAAATAACTCACTGTATTTTATGTTATAAAAATGTTATTAACATTTGTTTTAATTATATTTTTAAGTTAAATAAATTAGTAAGGAGCCAGTCACAGAATTAATTGAATTGATTTCTAAATTCAATATACAACACAGGTGTTTGACAATTCTGGAATTAAAGAGATTATAATAATTTCATTCAGTTGTTATTACATGATCCAACTTAAAATTATTATTCATAGTTCTTATAAATTGATTAACCGACTAAAGATTATAAATGGAGTTTTTATTTGATCGTATCTATCGTTTTGAAAAACTAACAGCTATTGCCACGTTGGATTGTATAACTTTGCATAAAAAAAGTTTTTAATGATTTATTTTTCTCGAATTAATGATATCCAATCAACAAGACCTATTTTATTAATGTAACCTTTTAACTAAATAGTCCGTCTTTCTTCTCCACATGACGTTACCATATTCATAAATCAGTGCCCTTGTATATGCTTGGTTTCTTGTAGTGTATTTTCTATATACATATTTAAAATATAATTATTTTAAACGCTAAAATTTATGAATTTTTTTTTTATTCTATCTCTTTATTTGATCGAACTTATGATTGTGTCGTATTATTTGGGAATCGCTTGGCATGAGCTGTGTATCCTGCGAAGCACAATTTTCTCAACTTCCCTTATCCAAGCATATGTTAATATATTTTGAAAAATGAATATTTTTAGAATTTTTTTGGAAAGAGTAGTTTCTCTTTCACACTCTAAAATTCTTTTTAATAAATAGAACAATTAAATACTTGTATGTTTATATATAAACTACTTTTTATTGTATAAAGAAAACATCAATTAGAAAATTGTTATAAAACTATAAAATAAAGATACACTTATATTTTACAATCTATGTCAATTTGGTAATTGATTAGACATATGTTTTTATTATTACACCATATTAGTACATTTAAAACGATGTTCTAATGTTTATTACAACTCATTGGTATTTAGCGCCCACATCTTCAAATAATTAACAATTAATTACAAAAAACAAATACATGGTATTGAGGTCATTTATCATCGAATAGGGAGTTCTACTATATTTTTTTGTTTACTGCACTGTATTACACAATTGACTTCGATCATTTTTATGGAATAAATGTGCTTAAATATTTGACAGAAAATATAAATAAAATTTAATTAAAACTAAAACACTTCCCTTACATTGAAAATTCACATACTTAAAATACAAATAAACATTACACATATATCAACAATAACAAAAGATATAATAATCTTATATGTATATACATAATTGTGCAGCTAAATCCAATATGCAAATATTATTCTCATATCAGAACATGTCATTGATAATTTTACTACTTGAAAGCATTTTCAGTGACTCTGCTAAATCGAGTGAGTGAATATATTAACGATCCAGTGAGTAAGTCAACACAATGCAGAAAGGGTTCCTGAATCGTACACTTTAAGCATTTTATTCACATTCTTATAATTTGTTTTTCTTTTTTTTATTGGAATATTGGTTATTTCCCTTGCTCTAATGACGCATAAAATGTTTCAAAAGGTTTGCTTTGTTCATGCAGTCACTGCTGTTTAAGATAAACATCTTTGGTTTTGCTTTCTGTGCTGACTACACCACTTCATGGTACAATTGTAATGCTGGCGTCCAAATTTATCTTAAAACTTCTCGTACACACCTAAACGCCGCTATGCAGGTGGTCTTGTTGTTGTTGATGATTTTTACCTTTATTTTTGGAGTATGTTTCAGTTTATTTTTTATTAAACAAATATTATTCTTTTCATGTTCTTTAATCTTGCGAAAACTACATCCTGCATTAAAAGCAACGATTGGATGTAAAACGTTATTCATATATAACGTCAATATAGACTAAAATATAATTTAATTGTAAACACTTAATTGTGTTTTAAGAATTTAATAGTTAGATGTGATGGATCTATTTGAGTAAAAAATAAAACATACAACTTATATAAAACTTATAGAATTATAAACTTCTATAAACTTACTATAGGTATATAACACTTATAAGTGGAGGTGAAAAAGTGATCGAAAAACACGAGAACATGGCTTGAAATGCCAACATAAAAGAGATCCTTCTAGACGTAATGCGTTGGCGTTTCCGAGGGCCAATAAGTCTCGCCATAGAATGGGTGCTTTAGTCCTTATACTGCATACTAATATTAGGTAGTCGGGCACACAATTTCGACGACGGTCAGTCTCATGGTGCATAAAGCATTCCACGTTCTCACTACAAAAAAAAATATATTATTTATCTACGTGTGTGAACAAATCTTAATTATCAAAAAAACGTAGATATTGTGTTTATAATTATATCACAATAATTTTTTAAAAAACAACAAAAATTCGAATAATTAAAACCATTAGAGCAAAACAGAAACCTTACGATATATTAACACATAAAAAGTAAATACATAGAAATAAATGTTTTCTCTTTCTAATTTTTTTAAGAATTTCAAAACAGAATTTAACATATATAGAATTACAATATAAAATATTCACGTGATGAGAAGAAAACCATAAATTCTAAAATACATATAAAATTAGGCAAATAAATTTTGTGTTCCACAAAATTAAATATAATTTTCAGTTCCCTTTCTCTTTTATTATTTATTTTTTCAGAATCATTATTTGCACCTTCTCATCTCAATCTGCCTAAAACTCTTACTCTATCTTTTGCTATATACTTCAAATTCTTGCTGCTTCTTCGTTTATTTTAATTTAGCTTTAAATTTTAATTAAAAGTCTATAAAAAAAAATAGTTCTAAAAAAAGGTCTAAAATCAAGCAAAATTAATTTTTGATCATAAGCTTACTAAATTTTAAGTTCTTTAGTTATATTCTTATCAATATTATACAATGCTATAAACACAGTTAAAGATATATTTTTTTTACTGATACATTTTTCAGAAATACAATTATAGAAAATTCTGGCTATATTATTTATACAAAAGTTATAATTTAATGTTGTTTATACTAATCGCTAATATTCACATCCCAATCATATGACCATTTTAAATCCTGAACGTCGCTTCGAATAACATGATTACTTTTTCGTGAATAAATAAAGCTATATAAATATAATACATTATATGAACAGATAAAGTAGATTCTCGAACTAATCAAGTAATTGTGTACTAAATAGTTTCAATATAAGGAACATTAAGTCGATCTATGGTATAATAAATGCCGTTTTCTATTAAATGAGTTTATTATTATAATGTACTACTTAGTACTATCTAATATCTGAGTAATAACTAACCGCACGGTGCGGTACTCAGATCTTAGATCAATCATTGAATAATCACGAAGATTATGAGGAATACTCAAATTAGTGAGTGAGATGAGTGGGACTCTGCAGAAACCCCCCAGCCATCATAGAGTATATGTATGTTTCTAAATAATTCTTTCCAAATCAACTTGGGTTGATGTTTTCCTGCAAGTTATTATTTATTACTATTGGTTTCACAAGTTATACGAATACATTAAAATTATGTTAATTGTTATGTTGAGCCTCTGATATAATTCAATTATATCTTAATTCATCAATACCTCCGATTAGTTGTAGAAGATCTAACAAACTCTGGCTCTAAAATAGCTAGGATTGTATCATGAAATAAGACTGTCTATCTAATTTAGAAGATTTCGATCTTCTAACATTTCACTCGCCTTTTACTGTAAACAAAATGTAATTATAAATATATAACTAATTCATTATTTTTAAAAATACACGCATGTTTGATGTACACTCATTCGATGTAGAGTGCACTCGAATTCTATACGACTGTTATAAATATATTCTACTTCATTTAAGTCGTTTTATATTGTCTTGAGATGTATTTGAACTTTTATGCGTGCCATAAAAATGTTAGCGCCACTCGCTTCTTGACTTCTTCATTTCATTTCCATATTTTCTTATTTAAGTTGTTGTAATCTACAAAGGCAAATGCGGTACATAAATATTGTGGAATCATACTGCTTTCACCGCCTACAATAAAGAACTCAACAGGGCCAAAAAATATATTTGTACCTGCAGGGGCAAAGAACTAAATGTTTTTCGTACTCTTACCTTTCGGTGATGATGCATTTCCGGTACTGTTAAGTGCTGTTGATAAGATTCTTAGTACCGTGCTTCTTCTGTCATTATTGGCTTAATGATGCAGCATACCACGCAGTAGGGATTCTCGATATATCTTGTATTAATCTGAATGTGTATTTTGAAGTTGTCGGTCAACACAAGTCGGTTGCCTTTTATTTTCCCATGTTTGTTTATATTTAAGTACTTTAATAATATTTGTTAAATCATGTAATCGTAATTTACGTACTTAATAAAAATTTTATATGGACGTATTTCTTTTGATGCTACACACAATCAATGAAAGAATTGAAATTAAATAAAATAAATATTGCGTTTGTTTGATATTTGGTATTTAGTAATTTATTGAAATAATTGTTTGCTCTTCTTTTTTAAGCTTTGAAATATTATTTAGTAAATTTTAAAAAAAAATTTGTTATAATTTGTATATATATTTGCATTACAGGTAACATACAATCGTGCTCTAATGAAGGTGAAGAGATTTCATTACAGGGAATTCAAAACTCAGACTGTTTCAAGTGTGCCTGCAAGGTAAGAAACTTCATTGAGTTTTAAAAAAATATTTTGTTATGTAATTAATATTAAGATATATAAAGATATATATGTGTATATATATAGAAAGGTATATAAAAATTATATGTAGATATAGTATTCGCACAAATTTTATTAATTCTAGATATATAAAAGTATATAATTAAATAAGTTTGATCAAATATTATTGTAATTGTTAAAATTCAAATTCACCAAGAGATATGAGTTATGAGAATCTTCACAGATTTATTAGATAGTAAATGTGTTAAGATATACCAAAACTTTCGAGGCTCTTTAGGTTTCATGTAACAATTTAATTGCGACAGCATGAGAAAAAATTATGGTAATTTTACCAGGAATTAGGAGTTCATTTAAAACTTTTAATCAGGACCATAAATGTAATTCATTAATTTAACAAAGTGGATTATATATTTAATATTTGTATTGTAAAGAAAGCCTCAAAAAATGATCATCGTTTGGCGAGTATTGTGCACTCCATTTTCAATCCCACTTACAGACAATAATGATTGTTATTACTGGTCATATTAAAATGAATAGAACTTTGATCCTCCATAACTTACTAATGGTAATGATATAGTAAAATCACCAAAATTATTTTTTCATATTTTAAATGCTTTGCCGCAATTAATTCTATTTTTAACACAAAATTTTAAATAACATCTCTGATCCCATATTTTGGCATATAAAATATCGCCAATTGCAGTAATGTACATTTTGCATATTTGATTGACAAACCTAACTTAAGCATCGTAACTATAATTCTAAACTAACTATAGTAGCAAAAGCTAACGTTACTGAAAATAAGACCTATACACAAAACATACTGGACTCGATTAACTAAACGCAATGTGCACAATTTAAAAATTCTTGAAAGCAGCCCGTATAATGTGACGTTTGTGGTCCATGTGTCATATTTGGTCTCTCTTTTTAATGTATGTAATACATATTTTATTAAGCACACATATAAAAATCAATGTTATTAAAAATTTCCATCTGCAACCAATACATCGGCTAAGGTATTGGCACGGTTATATCTATGATTCTGTACTTTAAGTCAATTGATATATGTGCCGATACTTCCAATAACTAATTGACTGTCATCATTAACAATGTAAATATTAATCGAATAATGCTTTAAATTGTTAGGTGAATAACAACTACTTCTGCAATAAAAATACTATATTAATCGGCTAATGAAAAAATTCATTTGTTGAAAAAGAATTCGTTATCTCTAATACAATAATGCTTAAACTTATTGTCTGAACATATACATTATTATAACAAAGTACATATAAGAAAATGGCATATCTGTCATGGACTTTTTCTGTTGGTATGAAGCCAGTTAGAGGTCTGGCATCATGGTCAATGAAAATCCAGTAAAGAACACTTAATATTTTCCAACGGTTTTTAAAAAATGATTGGAATCAAAATAATACACTATACTAAGCATCAACAATTACGCCTAAATAAATCCACAACAAGATGCTAGGCTTACGGTCTCATTTATGTATAATATAATTTTTAAAATTGTAGATAACGAATATACATGAATACGTTTTGAATATATTTATATATATATATATATAGTTAACAAGAACAAGAAAAACTGTGGAACTCTAACTTTATGACTGCCCCAATAATCTTAATGCATATCCTTATATAGGAAATCTAAGCAGAACGCAACCAATCGCATATTTCCTTATTATATCAATGAATCTAGAAAAAAGCCTAGTATGACAATTTATTATCTGATTGCAGAAGAAGATATATATATATAAGTAAATTAACATAGTGAGAATTATAATAGTTATTTAGAAATATAGTGTTTAAAATATCTGCATCAATCAATGTACAATCTAACAATTTGTTCATGGCTATGCTTTTGTCATATGTCATTAATATTTATCGGAAACATATATTTAAAAATAATTTTCATATAAATGTATTTTAGCAAAACCCTTAAAATAATATGTTAAAAAATTGTATTAAAATTAGGAAAATTACTGTACTTCGTCTTTTGCATAATTCAATAAAAGTTTTTTTATATAAAACTGTGATTGAAGTTCACAAATTTTTTATACTTATGAATTTGTGTAGGTTTAGGTGAAAATTAAAACATAAAGTTATAATTTTTTTTATAGATTTTATTCACCTAAGTAAAATTTAAAATCAAATTCATAAGCATAAAACAATTTAAGGTTTCTCAGAAAATTAAAAATTTAAAGTATTTAAAATTTTTTCGAACCTTTGTTGCGAATAATATTTTTTGGTTTTTATCTATTTCTGTAATCTATTATAAAACTCATACATCTTTTTATATAACTTCAATATAATTACGTAAAAATACTTAAAAGTTATAAAGTTCACTTTAAGGTCTTTTGTTTCTTTGCCAAAAAGTTTTTGATATTTAAGTTGGCCAAGTGCCTAATAATAAAATGTTCACAACTCTCTCATTTTAAAGCATATTTAGGCTCCTTGCTATATTAAAACCACATATCTCAATAATTTAGATATGATAATAGTAAAAATTTATTTACTTAAGTAAATAATAATACTTTTAAATACTCGTAGTTATTTGTTCAAATAAAAGCGTTTCAATTGTTGCCACAACTTATAGTTTTAAATAAAGTGAAAATTATATTGATTTATATTTAAATATAAAAAAAATGTGTTGTATATATTTTGGAAAAGTTAATATAACTATATTAAAGAGTTTATCAATTCCGACTTAAAAGTAAGTTCCCTGGTTTTTGCTTAATATATATCTTTTAGGATTTTGCATTTCTAACAAAAATCAGTCTAGTATCATATAGAAAAATTTCTGTGTAGCATATCTGATCTAGGTATCTCACCGTATGTGATTTAGTTCTCCTAGATGGACCAAAAAGTATCTGAGCATCACAAAAAACTTGTAAAATGAAAAAGCTTGAGATTGCCTTTTAGGTGTTCTTTTAGAATTAAAAATGTAATAAAAAATGTGTAGTATATATTTGATTCATTTATAATGTTTTATAGAATATATCAATTGAGAATTATTTCTACAGATGTTATTATATCATAATAATCATTTTTCAAGAAATATTTTCAAAAAGATCACTGGTGATCAGTATTTGACAATACTCGAAAAAGCTGAATGCTAAGCCAAAAAGTCAGTTACCAAATATATAATAAAAATTTTGGTTTAACCTCTCTATTAAATGCTAATTTATTTCTTGTTGTAAGATTACGAGATAAACGATATTACAAAAATTTGACCAACTGTCAACACATCTATATATCAAATCGATAAAATAAAAAATGCTAATAGAAAATATTTACAGCTTAAACAAATCAGAGAAAGAAGAATTATTCAGTTTTCCCTTATTTTGAAGATTTCTCAAGAATACGTTACATCCCTGCTTAGAAAACAATTCTTTGAGGAATTTGAAGAACTAGCACCTATTGGTATTGAAAATATATTCAAATTAATAAAAAAAAAACACAAATTAATAAAAAACTAATGATAACTATTAAATCAAGGCTGCTCGTATTGTTGTAACCTCTACTACGTATATTAGGATATCACTTGGGGGGGGAGAGCATCAAATAACAAAATCTGTATATGGATATAATGAAATAATGCAAAGATATTCTGCAATTTTTACACATTTGTAATATATTGCAATATCTTTACTACTAATAGTTTCATAACTACTAAGACTGACTGCAATACCAGTACACTGCATTACATATAATTAATTCAACATTTATCTTGGTATATGTATATTCTTACAATTATACTTCAATATTTCCCACGGAAATATTTGCTGTACTAAATACGTGATTCCATATATTGTTGCCGATATGAACATTCAGGGAAAAAGTTCATATTTTTATAGACAGGCAGACAGCTATAAATGCTACCTCGTCCCAGATATTTTACGAATGTATATAAGTCATTAAGTTCTTCTTCTTAGTGTCCGCTTCCCTTAGTAGGGTATAGGACCGGAAGTCATTAACTTAATAGATATTATGTTATTTAATAGATTTAATTACGGATAGATCAGTTCAGCACCAATGAACAATTTTACAATTATGTAAAAATTTTCTTTTCGTCTAAAGAATTAATGAAAATAATGACACTGCAGACTAGAACTATAAACTTTGAATGTTTATAGCTATCGGAGTGACTACACATCACAGTGGAAGTTTGATCCTCTCAGCTTTTAAATAATAATTTATAATTATTTATTTATTATTTATTCATTCATTATTTTATTTATAAAAATTTATAATCACTTTATTATTATATAATTTAAATAATTAATTGATAATTAAAATGTTTAATATTACTGAAGTTTGCTTCATCTAAAGCAGATTGATCCTTGTAATTTGCGCTATAACTCTCTTCTAAGAATATGTTGATTAGTTGATCATCCATCGCTATCCTAAGCTAAAGGACTTTATGTCAAGTGCGTCTTGTCTTCAAACCAATTTGTATTTTTTGTATAAAATTCTTGCATCTTAATAGTATTATATAGGATTATCTTTTTAAGAGTACTATTGATGTAAATATTATTTTCCATATATCTCAACAAATTTCAATTTACAGAAGTATTCCCCACTTCATAATAATAAAAAGAAAATTATACATGAATAAATAACTCTGACAACTTCAATAAATCTATGATCATCTAAATAATTTAAAATGGTTTATAAATATTTAATAGTAATCAAAAGTGAACAAAGCAAACAGCATCAGCCAGTTTCTTCCAGTTCAAGCTTATTTATCCTGTTCAAGGTATTGTGAACTACTCAAGCTCCAGTGCAGTGGTACTTCTAGTATTGTTCCCAATTTGACGTAATCTACTTCATTTTAATTTATTTTTTATGCAAGAATATGCAAACATACTATAACTCTAACTTAAGCTATTGTTGCCAGCCAGGCTTCCACATATACACTCGTATCTGTTTTTATGCTCGACTGTAGCCTTTGGACC